CATGAATCTCCAGTACACATGCACGAGATACCATCAACCCATGAATTTGCGCACTGTATAAACACGAAAATAGTTGCCACTGTTGAAACGACCTTTCCACCACAACCGGAAGTGTTAGATCTCTCACCGCCGATTTATAAATAATACAGCTGGAAAAGCCGGCTGAAAAATTTACCAAATGGGAAATGGAATGATGAAATCTCAACAGCCACGTGCACCTCTAAAGAGGTAATTGCATTATACGATGTGAGTGCCATTGCATATTGATCGAAAATCCGCACCGAAAATTTCGTCCACCAGATATCGTACATTTGCCGACACGGTAATGGCACATCTACCCTTTTTGGTACTTTCGGTAAATCTCACTTCTCGTTTATTAAGAGTCAAGGTGCACAGAGATGCTCACAGTATATATCCGCGAAATGAGCCAACCGCGCAAAGTGGATTAAATGAAAATATAATGAGCCTGAATATACATTATATCGAGCTTTAACGCCGTGGCTTCTCACCGGGTGGCAAAAATCACAGGATAATACCGGCATCATTTTAAAATTAAGCCATTGGATACGAAGCATTCGTGTTAATGCTACCAACTGTAATCACATTGAACGCCACGTTAATTTGGTAATTGAGGTGACGGAGAATACGTAATGTAATACATATCTAATAGACATCCCCGGCATTTTATTTTCCCTTGATACACACGGAAACACAAAATGTTAATTACCGCTGAGATAAAACTCGAGGAAAAAGATATGTGGAGATGAATTTTTAACGGAATTCCAGTGCTCAAAATGTCGAGTTTTGCAAGTTAAAATGTATTTGTTGGTGAGTTTTTCCCAGTTGCACCTTCGGTCGATCAAATGGTAGAGTTTAATTAAAAAAGTGTTGCATAAATAATCGAAATGTCGGGTTTCCTCCGGTCTTGCAATTTCATTGAATAAAAAAATGAATAAAAAAATGAATAAAAAAATGAATTTTTGAATGAAATGCAGGTGTTGATGAATTTTCGTACGGAGTAATGAAACCGAGGGATTCACTGCCCTATGAAATCAATAATATTTTTCCTCCCGTGCTAAAAGCTCTAGTAATACATTGATCGGTTACTCGTCAAGGTGGGAGTACAGACCGGACGGCGATGTGAATGGGAATGAATAATAAAAGCCCATGTGTATAGATTCCTTCTCCCTTGGACTGTGGTGATAGGCACTCGGGGAGTTCTCTGTTCTCGGTGTTTTGTCCGGGAAATTTTACACGTAATCCAGTAGAACTCGCTGCAACAATACCAATTCTAGGTACATTGAGACCATTCAGGGGTAGTCGTGTTTGTTTACAACGGGCCTCTTGTTGCGAATCAAACGCACGTGTTAAATTCCCTCCCCTCGTCACAATCACCGAAAAGCCAATTTTCCTTTTTTTTCCAAAATCTCATTGCATTTTACAATTAACCGTAGCTAGTGTATCGCCATTGTTGCGCCATTGTTGCGCCATTGTTGCGCCATTGTTGCGCCATTATTGCGCCGTTCCTCGGATGTAAAGCAATTATTTTGACAAGTATTCATTTATCTGAGAAAAATATTTATTTTTATCCAATTGTATTCCCGATAATTTCCACTAAGTCTTAATAATTATAATTATATTGCTTTAGGCGATGATTATGTTAATTTTTTATGGATAGGAAATGATTTAATTAATTTTATTTCAATATGATTATTATCGGGACCTAATCGGGTAGAAATACCTTTTTTAAAAAAATGCATACCTCTCCCGAGTAAACGGGTCTTAAAGAATTTTTTTTCTCAGCGTACCACGGGAATTTATCTCAAGAATTTTTCTCCGTGCAAACACCCGATAATTTTGGCGCACTGGTGATATTACTGCTGAATATTTCATCGATCTCCCTCCACTTTCGTTGTAGATAATGGGAAAACTCGAATCGAACGTGCCACCCTGTACTTGAGAATAAAAATGAAAGAGAAACCAATTTCTACTATTCATGGAAACAGGAAAATGAATGAAAATATAATTTATGATGCAGCGTGGAGGTATTTTTCTCGCGTTGCAATGGCGTTCATGAGAGTTAACACCCAAGCGAGAAGAATCAGTTAATTTATCAACAAATTAACAGTATTCCGATATAAAATAACTTCATGATGTAGATCAGCTGTTTCTGGGTAGAATTGTTCTCTCTAAATTTCTGTGGGAGAATCGACCTTGTCCTGTAAATTCTTTCGCTACATGTTTGGCCATTTTATTCGATTCAACTCGGCACAGGTCAGCTGGAAGAATTGCAGGGAATAACCCACCCCTTTTTTCCCTCTCAAATCCTCTCACCCCATCCCCTCATTTCCTCTCTCAACCCGAAAACCCTATCACACGCCTTGAGGGACAATCCATTCTCATTCCACCCGACTATCCCTTCACAAACCCCGAAGGCACTTCCAAATTTTTTTACATGACAATTCTACACGAGAATTGCAGAGATTCCTGGCTTTTATCTACAACATTACCTCGAATTAATGTCAATTATTTACGTTCGGCTGTTGAAAATTTCTCAACATCAATCTCATCCTCTTTTCTCACCGGTTTGCCCCATTTTTGATGCTTTATGGTGGTGCAGCACATGTTTTATTCCTCAACGCAAACTTTTTATCTGCTCCTTTTTTTTAAATTTATTTTCGGCTTTCCGGGCATGTGGGTGGCAATTCATCGGTTGAATATAAAAAAAAACGGTGGCATATGGGGGAACAAAGCGATAATACACGTGGAGTGCATTCGAAAAACTTTTCAACGAAAAGTAAATTATACGTGAGGCTGTGGTATCATTGTTGTGTGTATGGAGTTGTGGGAATTTTTTGTTATATTGCGGAGTGCGGAATCAGGAAACCAATAAAGGGAATTGGGACTGAGAAGGTAAAAATATGTGCAAAAAAACACCGTGCAATTGTGATGGGATTATTTTTTATTTGATGTAGCAATACGTGAGAGCTCGACTATTTTCTATTTTTGCAAAAGGTTGAAATAATAAAGTGGTGGGTGGGACAGGATAAATTGAAGTAATGGAATTATCAAGTGAAATAATTGGAGAGCTATCTCTGTAATGAATGATTTAAGGGGGAAATGTAAACGTTCTCCTCTGAATTCATTCGTTTTCGATATGAATGGGTAATTAACAAGAATTTCAGAGAGAATTGGTCTTGATTTCGCACACCATGATTCTTATTGGATCGGGGATTATCTCGGTAGCGTTATTCAATAAAATTGGTTGGACTTACAATAGGTGTCTGTGGTCAGACGATCAATAGTGTCCTGCTTGAGCTTGCTGTTTTTCTTTCCCATTTTTCTTTCGTCTCTTCTGTTTTTTTAATGTTTCCAAACCCACCAGGTTTCGCTGGTGGATTTTCACTTCACTCGAGCCAAGTTAATTCACCTCAACGTTTTCACCGGTTCTTGTACATTCCGGCTATTTCTTTTTTATCCCCTTTTCTCCGTTAAACCTGTCCTTTGAGATTTATTCACGTTGGCCTCTCTGCACCACCAAAAATTTATCGGCTTATTCCGGCTGACTTTTTTATCTCCACTTATTTTTCTTCGGTGCACAATTTCCTTCTAGATTTAGACGGGCATTATTATGCATTATCTTTGCATTAATTGCATAAAAATTGCTCGGGAGGTTGACGGGGTAATTAATGAGACAGAGACAGTACCAGGCAATGTCAATGCCTCATGCCATCTTGAAAAAAAAAATTTATGTGTGTGATAGAAAAATGGATAGCCACTGAGAGAAAAAATCTCTTTATCCAAAAAATGTAAAAATTAAATAGAATGGCAAAATTTTTATATCGCGCCCCTTTAAAATAAAAAATTCCACTCAAGTCCATCTGTAATTCTTTCCCTTTCGGGAATAAGAACATTTTATTTTGAAATAAAACTGTAAAGTTTCGTGGATAGGGTTTCTATGAAAGTTTATCGCGTGTTGAACTCGTGCACATAACAGTGTCTTCACTATCTCATGGAAACTCTAGCAAGTCGGAAAGAAGAGAAGCAGCAAGACGTATGCGGAAAATTTCCGGAAAAGTGTCGTTAAATTGAGTTTAGTACTTTCTACAGGTAAACAATTGTTCATAGGATCCACTCGTCCCTACCGTTTATCCAGTGACTTGGTGATAAATGAGAGAATGGAGTGAGGAAAAAGATGAGGCACTTAATTTAGTATATATCTGGAACGAGGATAAATAGGGGAGATGGGTAAAGCAGTGGGAGGAGAATTTTCCGAGCACTGGTAAATGGTTGAACTACGGTTGTCATTAGCCCTTGCAGTACAGAGGGTTAAGGAGCAAACTGTTACTTTGAGATTAGGAGGAAACGATTCTTCTCCATTTTGGATGGTTTCCCTCTTTGTTTCCACTGCTGCATTGTGCCTCGAAAATATCTCGAGTGAAATTTCGAGTTGAGAGAAATGTTTAATGAGGGATATTATGCACTCCTGCTGGATTTTACTGTCAGGCTTTCGAGGATTCACTCGTTTCTTCTCAGTACACTTGGTTAATCCATGTTGATGGAAAATTTTCAATATGAGAATGTGACTCCAGTACGGAAAACAAGATTCTATCCAATTGAGAGTTTATTCTTGGTTCGAGGATTATTCTGTTTAGTGGAGAACTTGGGGGAATTAGAGTTGTAAGTGGTGTCTTTGAGGGACTCTGTTACTTTAGACTGAATTAAAACAGAAGGAACAATTCGGTTTTATTTCGTTCTTCTCTGGATATACAGTGAAACAGCTTTTCAGCGATGTCTTGGAATTTGTTCGGTATTCAAAGGACGGGTAAATTACTAAATAAAAATTCTCGGGTTTTGAAATTCATGAGGCTGAATTTCTTCATGTCAAATCAAGTCTTTTCGATTTTGCAGTCGGCATGGGATGTGATAGGACTGGATTTTCAACAATTGACTAAAACCAGTGGAAACATTAAGGAGTCATCGCCGATATCTTCTCCTTTCCCATGTTTTTTTTTGTAAATCTCCGAAAAATCTGGGATCAGATGATAAAAATATTGTTTTTAGGTTTTATTATTATTCAATGACCCACGAATTTTTAAAAAATTCATTGGATAATAATAAAACTGAAAAACGGTATTTTTTCAGGTGAATTTTATCAAGCGTTTCTCATAAATTTGGAAAAAAAAACTGAAAAATGAAAAACCATGGGCAACAACTCTTCAAACAAAAGTAGAAAATAGTGGTTTAAAAAATAAATTCGTCCAAGAAAATAGAGACGTTTATTCTCTTCAGACTTGAATCGAATTGAAAATCCGTATTCGCCGTGTTCCACAGTACGGAACAATAACGATATAGATAGGATCGAGGATGAGGAGGTGGAGGTACGCCAGCACGCGCAGTGGATGAACGAGATAAATCCTTACAACCAGCTGGAATGAAAACGAGATGGAAGAAATGACAGAGAGAGAAAATTGGCGCAAAAACTATTGGTCGTGTGATGTTACACCGCGTGCACCAAATTTCTCGCCCTTGGCCCGGTGTCGGTAGAATATTCCAAGGAGATGATGGGCATGTAACTCTCATTAAGTAAATTCCATAAATCCATAAATTACCCTGACATTAATGAAAATAGGTGGTTCTCTTGAGTATTAATGAAAAACTTGAGCCACTCACGAATAATAGCCTCACTCGATTCATTAAAAACTTCACATCACTTTCACAAATATGAAAAAGACAATGATGATGTCATGCACGGAATTGAAGTTTTTAATGGAATTTTGGTGAGTCTCGAGGGGGTGAAGCGAAAAAATTGATGATGATTGATGTTGCACCGTGAGAGTCAACTTTTCATTCATAAAATAACGAGAGGAACTGGTGAACAGTAGTGGGGACTTGGCACGATTGTATTCCTGGGACAATGGGGTTGCCGTCGGTGGAGTTAACGGGGGTACGTCGTCATAACGTTACGGGCCCCGGCGTCAGACTGGCTCGCTTATATACGTGGTGTCATACGGCTGGCATTCGCTAGGAAAGTACCACCAGGGCGCACGCGCTTTCACAATTTCCCATATCACCTACCAGGAAAAGCGCCAGTGCAATGTTAGAAATTTCTTGTCATTTCACTCCCATTGCGAGAAAAATTACCAAAAAAAATTACGTGACACTTCCGTAATCCCAAGGTATCCATAATTTCATGGAAAATTACGGAGTGAACCTGAGTTTTTACACTTGTCAGATAATTTCTGTCATTTCTGGACTCATTTTTGTCAAATTAATTTAATGAGAATTTTTCTCTGTTATTTTTATTTTTTATTGTGTCAATTTTTATTTCATTTCCATCGAAATATTTAGGGAATATTTTTTCTGAGGATTGAGTGCAATTGCAATTGAAAAGCAAGGAGCAATTGTAATTAATGGAATGTTTTTTATTGTCGCGTGATAAGAGGCATGAGGCCGATAATCAACTTGCCACCTGGGGTAATGAGCCATGAGCGTGTGATCATTCTGCATTGGTAATCTATTAGTCAAGAATAATGAAAAAAGGCAAGCCCATAGATTTTATCACTTTCTCCCGATGAAAGCGCTTTTTTTTATTCCATCATTCCGAAATGAAACCAATTATATTTTTCAATTAAACACCTAATCTCACGCTATTCAACATCAAACGTTAATGAAAAAATTCTCCAACCACCAAAAACAGATTGTCAATAAATTATTCATGAAACAATCTTCTTTCCAACCGATACGTCATGTCCTCGCGTTTTAAAATTTCTCTGGACTCAAATTGAGTCCGATAGTTGAATAAACGTCAAAAGAGAGATTTTCCCAAAAAAAATTCCGCAGTACACCGAACAAAGTGAGAAAACACATAAATATAAAACTCGAAAATTGTTGGATAAAAACAAATTCATCGGTTGACTCAATCCCCTTTATACCCAGGAATATCCGGGATATCAGGAATATCAGAGCTATCAAGGGAAATCGCGAGGCTGATGTACAGATTTGATGTACAAAGTAAATAGAAGTAAATAAAATTATAGGATATTTATTCAACAGATGGACGTGATATTGTTGAAGGTCGCCAGGGCTTCGATTCTGATTAACTTTAGCTATCGCGAGGTAAAAGTCACTGAAAAAGTAATTCTCCATTGAATTGGGAGTGGGTTTGTAGCTTGTATGTGAGCTTTTCTTATCTCAACGAATGAGTGGTGTGTAGAGGAGCGTAAAGCGAAGATCCGCCATCGAATAGGGTACCATGAATGGCCGCTGGAGATAAGTTAACGTACAACTTGTGTCTCGGTGCTTAAAAGCTATTCAATGAGTTTGTGGACATGTGTTGGTAAATGTCACGAGGTGGTGGATTTTCAGGGGATAGGCGAGAGGTTCACCCCTCCTCCTTCCCCTCCTCTTCCTCCTCTTCCTCCTCTTCCTCCTCTTCCTCCTCCTCCTTCTACCCCTTCTACCCCTTTCACCCCTTTTTCCCACCGTATTTTAAAGAGAAAAGTGTTTTCGTCATGGATCGAAACAGTTGCCCTCGATGTATGGACAGACACCTGGGGTAATGCACACACATTCCCAAGGGGTTCATGCAACCACTGTTTTGTTATTACATTTTTACAACTATTGCGTCGAAGGAAAATAGATTCTGGTTGAGAGTGCTTCCGTGTGTCTACTCGATTATTGGTGAATCGAATTTAGCGGGGTTCAAAATTCCCGTCGGAACATCAATCTCAATTTTTGTAGGAATTTTATACATTTTTTATTGGGGTTTAATCTCGGATTATTTAAAGAGCGTGATTAATTATAGTGTTGAGGATTTGTTTAAATTTCGGTAACAGTTGTCCGGATTCGAAATTAATGAGTTTGAAAATTCAATTGGAAATGGTCAGCTGATTTTTTTTATCTCGAAAATTCGAGGAAATTGGATTTTTTGTTATTTAATGGATAATTTTGCGACAATGTTGTGGCTTTTGGATTGTTCGATTGTTGGATTGCATTAGAGAATTGAATACTCTGATGAATTAACTCTTCAATTACTGACTATCGCGTCGAGACACTCAATCCAGACATCGACAACTAATGTGCAACAGGAAGGCCCCAGGAAGGGTTAATTGCGGTTAATTACGGTTGATTAATGTAGAAGACACTTTCCCTCAATCTTTCATTGAATTTCTGCACAAATATAATTCGTCAAATTATCGCACCTCTTTAAGACACTCGATGCAATTTTCTCAGTCATAACCCACTAAATCGTTATCGATTTAGATTAATTAATTAATCCTTCGGTTTGTCCCCCACGATTCGAAGGTCATTAACAATTTTAATGAAATTTACCCAGAATAGCAGAATTTTTAAAATTAGAGTTTCGCTCTCTGTTTCACAGATTTTCACGAGAACGCACTTTAGCAATTTCTTGAGAGACCTGTTTGCTGATCAAAATGCTGATTTTTTGGATCAAAATGCTTATTGTAATGGCCACTGTGGGACAACAACTGTTTCCATTTGCCATTTTTTTTGCCTCTGAGTATAGCGTGTGCAATTACGCATTGAAGTACCTCATTTTTCATACGGCATTTCAGGGTAGGTCTATATGTCTATATCGATTTTCGCTGTTGGCGATGGCTATCGAGGTTTCAGGAACCTGACCACTTTCCATTTATCTCGTGCTTCGTTTGATTTCCTCCGCGTTCACAGCAGCTCATATCATTCGAGAGGAAGTGAATGCGATACTGATTAATTCCCACTGCATTCTTATGATTTTTCCAGTATTGAGATTCAGGTACATCCGTGCGGAAAAATCAGAACTTTATGAATAAATATTGGGGTGAAACATCGGGGGCATGCGAACTTTTTATTTTACAATTGAACGTCTGCTTTCCGTGGGATAATATTGAGATACATCAATTAAATTATTTCATGAAATTATACATTAAGAAAAAAAATCGATTACCACTTTAAATAACGCACAATAAAAATATCACAGTCCAAAAAATGATACGATTCAAAATTATTATCAATGCTATTGTTCATTGTGATATTTTTTATCATAATATTAAAAACTGTGATATTTTTGAGAAAAATTTCATGGAATTTTGAAAAATCCCAATTGTCAAAAATCACAAAGATGAAAAAATTTATTTCTAAAAACTCTAGTTAGCTTTTACTTGCTGATATCGCCCTAAATCGTCCATCTTATTTTCCATTTCATGCAACCACACGATTTAACTTCCAGCTTGTTGGCTCCCGCCATTCTGCATCTCTAATTGCTGTGCAAATCGCCTCAGCCCATCCCCCGCCTTCAGAACAGCTGTTGTCTCTCGACCGATAAAAATGACCTTGCCCCATATATCATTCTCACAAGAATTAAGAGCAAAAAGGGATCCGACAAAAAAAGATATGTATATCAAAGGTGGAACATCAAATGGGACATTGTGGCGCCATTCCCGCATCCCTCATTCCTGTTTATCGCCGCGATAAAGCCGGAAAAATGAAACAGCCTCTGCACACCCTTTTTCGCCTCTACCCCCACTTCCGTTATTCATCCCCACCAGATTATCCCACATCTTCCCAACACGAATATTCGCTTCTATTACAATTTTCTCGGCGCCACATACAATTTTCGCGATAAGATTCATTATTCAAAAATTGTCCTAGACATTTCACGTAAAAACTGGTAAATTTTCAACAACAATCAAGTGTCCGGAAATTTTTGATTCTCAGATCGATATAGCACGGAAATACCGTGAAAATATTGAAATTCAATTTATTTCACATTAAATTTTCACGTTTTTCCCACAAAAAACCAAATATCCCCAAATTTCCAAGATAAATAAATAATCTAGCGAAAGTTCTCAATTATAATTGATTTCAAACTCATATAATTGAAAATTCAGACAATTTTATGACTGACATTTTCAGAAATGATTTTTTTAGTGTGATTTAATCTCAAGAATTGTCCACTAGTGCAATCCGCAGGATCGCGCAGGGCGAATAAAAAAATTAGTATAATCCGATTTATGGATAAATTGCGTAATTAAATGTAGATTAAAAAAAATGAGATTTGCGTGGTTCATCACTGGAGAAGTGGCCAACACGAAATCGCCGTAAATTTCTGTGGTCAGGTAGAGGGTTGTCCGGTGCAAGCGAATGAAAACGTGACCGGAAATGACTCAGTTAGGGTTGCAGCCAAAGGGCCCTCACCCTCGCACCCTCTCACCCTCGAGTACCAAGTGCTTTTGCAACTCCCCCAGCTTAACACCCTCTTCCACCCGTCCGTGAACACCAGAAGCTACTTAAAATTCAGTCACCCTAGGTCATCCCCATGATTCTGATAATTTCTTATGGAACTCCTATAAAAGCCCATCCACGAGAAAATCCCACGGATAACGATTCTAGGACGGAACAGCCGTTATAATCATGGGCTCATCGTCAACGGCTTTAATGTACCCGAGAAAGCGAATGAAAAATCGAAGAAAAATATAGATTCCACTTCTCTTTACCATCTTCTTCATTTTTTTTTTTATTTTATAATTCAGCCTCTCCGAGAATCCAATTATACTGATAAAAAAAGAACTCGAATGAATGAAAAGGAGAAAAGGGATGGAGACCGAGTGGAAAAAAAAATTAAAAAAGCTGAGAGTTTTCACAATCCGTTAAAGTATCGCAACGTGACCTTTCGGCAGAGGAAGCGTTCCTTCATATCGCTAAAAAAGCCACTCCTCCATTAATTCTGCTCTATTTTACCTTCCATCTGGTTTGGTGAATCACAAAATTTTAATTCACCCGTCTCTCATGGGCTCAGTGGTTTACTCAAATTATTAACGGTAATAACGGAGTAATTGTAAATGTGGGTTAAGCGGTCGTATTTTCATATCAACTTGTGGATTCAGTCACTTGGGTGATGCTCAATACACAAGTTGACATTATTGAAACATTAATCCCGGAAAGTGTGTCATCATCTGGAATTCCCCATAAAAAATCCATAAAACCTGCATACGAAGCATGTACTTTATTTTTTTCCCCATATAAATAGGGCCGAATCGGTATATTTTTTTATATACCGACATTCCGAAATTTATTGAAAAACGATACATAAAAACTGATGATAATTAAAATAAAAATGCATTCCCTGGAGCTCCGGATAAATCCGCGTTTAAACAATTAAAATAAAAATAAATGGTGGATTTAAACCTGAAAGCGTGCGATAAACCCGAATAAAGTGCATTCGTTTCAACACGACATTCCAACTCATTAATGAATTAAAAAATGCAATTGCAAACGCCATAAATGGATAAATGAATTAAAAAAAAATTACAGATAATCTCACGTCAAATATCCCATCATATTTGTAGTGCGGGAAAATGAAAATAGACGGGTAATAAATGAGTAATAAAAGGACTCCTCACTGACTCCATGAGTGGTGTCACTTGGAGTACACCATTGGGTATGTAATTGTCATACTGGAGGAGTGAAATGACACTCAGGGGCTGAAGACGCTGTGGTAAGAATCGGACAACCCCCGAGGGCTTTCCCCTGCGGATTCCAACCGAGTCACCCTCTGTATCGACCCACCAACGCCCACCCAACTCCATCCTCCCACTCAGCTTCTACACCCACACCTACGCATCCTCCATGCAATTTTGAATCCAAGGGAAACGTCATCGGCTTTTTCCTCACATTCACAATATCGGGCTACCTCATTCCCCACCCACCAAATTGATAAGCCCATAAATGATAAGAATTATATCAACCTCTCCGTGATAACGACATGACTCAGGCGGTCGCAAACATTTTTTATCCGTAATATTGTTATATATATAAAAATCAATTACGTATAAAATCGACCGAAAGGTATTTTATCATCGAATCATTCAATTGTCATTGTATGAAGCTGATTATTATATAGAATGATTAAATATTTTAATTATTAAATATTTTCTTCTAAGAAAATACGTTATCCAATAATACCTCACCACTTGTTCGAGAATTCCAAAAGACTGAATATTTATTTGAAAATTTTTAATTCTTATGCTACGGGTTACACTTACGGCCATTCTAGGTATTTAGAGATCAATTTATTTTCTCGTCTTCATGCCAGGACTCTGTCGCCTCAACAGGCTATAATACCCACAGGACCCTCTCTCGTAAAAAGAAAATTCGAGTGAAAAATCCCTTTCTGGCGAGTCAATGAATAATGAATAAAGCTCCCCACACATGCAATTATGTGCCCCAGGCAATACCGACAGTCCAGGAAATCGTGAAAACCACTGATTTCCATTTGAAAGCCAGATTAATCCATCGTGACACTTGATAACACCGCAATTTAATTGCCAATTGAAGTCCCCTTAATTATAATTCAAATGGAATTTGCCAGTACAGTTGACGGTACATGAAAATGTGGTTTAAACTTGCGCTAGCCAGCCGGTATCGCAGTAGCAAGCACTTACTTCGGTCAAATCATTAATTAAAGCCCCGGCAGTAGTTTCACATCGAAGACAAAGAAGACGTGCAGAGCGAAAGGGGTGGCTCGTTGCCGTAGGTTATCCGGGCATTCTGAGATATCTACCAGCCAGCATCCCATCCCCCTGTCCTGCATCATCCCCTGACTCACTTTATAGTCTAGTGAGGGTGCGAAGTGGAATTCTAAACTCGATGCGGGTATAGAAAGGGCTCCATTGTGGCTCCCGTGTTAGCAGTCGCCTCGTTTTCACTGAGTGTCTTAGCCTCACCTATTTCATCCAAGAGCACATGCATCCACTGTCCAACATCTCAAATATACAACAGCATTTCTTACACCTTTCCACGTCAAACGAGAGATACGTGAGAACCGCTGATGCTCTAATGAACAAAATGGTCAAATGTTTGTAAAAGAAGTTTAATTAAAAAACATCAAAGGCAACATGAATTGGAGTGAAGTGGTTGTCTTCTTTATGTTGGCAATTAATTTTCACCGGTGAAGATGAAAACTATATTTTCTACGTATTAAAGAGGATGGTGCTTTCATGTGGAGAAGCTGGACGATGCCATTAGCTCCTTCAGCCTGCCGTAAACACCGAGAGCTGGGATTTAATCTGGTATCGTAAAGAGAGGCCACTACCGCATCAGTAGTTAAACTTCATTAAGTGCCACTGAGCGTTTCACCTTCTTAATCCAAACTTTACGAAAGTGTAATTACGAAAACCGCATACGTCCTCGAGATAATGACATATGATATTGTGTCCATCAAGAAATTCATGGACAAGTGATAATTATCTCTGAACACTTTATTTGTCATAAGATGTATAAATTAAAACAGGTACGTTTATGTCTAATTATTACACGTTATTACACGTTTAGGCTTAATGAAAACCGTAATGATGTTCACTGATTCATTAAATGTTGAATATTTTTTAATCACACACTGGCACGTGCTACATGACCAGGTGTTGCAGCAGCAGTTGTAGGTGGTGTAGTTGTGGTTGTTGGCCTGGGGATGGGTGATCTCTTCATTGGCATCCGCCTACTGTTCCTACCGGATTTACCCCATGGCCATTGTAATGTACGTATCAGGGTGTTACGAAAATCCTCCGAAAATAGGCAGTATATGTAGAACGTTATCGAGTAGTTTATTATCTCCAGGAGATTGGCTAGGGCACGAAATACCTGAAGAGAGAGAGGAAGAGGAAAAAATAATTTTCGTCGTAGTGGAATCTAGTGGGTATTCAAGTCGTTGAGGGGATTCTCGTTGAATCCTCTGGGTGGGTATCAAGTGCACGAGTACCTGTATTTATTGATATTCCTCGAGTGACATTAACTACAATATGATCCGATCGTGTAACTAGCTGTCGTAATGGTTATGGGGGTGTTACCTGGTAAGGATACAGACTCAAATTGCTCTCGCTCAGGGTCACGTTCAGGATGACCATTGGGCTGACGCAAACGAGGAAGAGAATACTTGTACTACTCAGCAGAAGAACCAGACGACGCTCTTCAGCAAATGTACGTGGATCCTCGTCACCGCTGCTCACTGTACGTGACAGTGTCATTCTACGTCTCCTCTCGCACGATCTTCTGTACACTAGCATGATACGAAGATTGAAGCCAGCTAGCAATATCGTTGGGGCTACCTTAAACACTACCTCTAGCACTATCTTGTAAACCTGTAATTCAACAAAATTTTTGTATGTTAATTCAGGGTGTTATGAATAAATTTGATTCATAGACTCAGACAGAATAAGAATAATAAAATTAATAAAAATAATAAAAATAATAAGAATAACTCGAATACAAAGCAAAGGTTTGTTTTCTGGTCTACCTGGTGCTTGAATAATTCAGGTGAAGACTCACCTGGTAAAATACAGAATGCATAAATGACAAATTGTCTCGCTTCTGATAGATAAGAGGTCCACCAGACGACACTAGACAGGTTGTAATTTCGCCCCGAAATACACTCGGCAGATAAACGAGGAAAGTTGCCAGAGGTATGAGCGATACTGTGAGATGAGGTGGTCCACATAATGGACGGGTGTGTTGACCTGGATGACATACGCTAACGTAACGCTCGACTGTCAGTGCGAGTAACATCATAACACCAACACCTGGAGAGAAAGAATTATTTTTCGTGGCACATAGAGACAAATTATTGCATCGTTCGGAGAACGTGTGGTCCATTAAAAAGAAAAGCTATTAGTTATTGAGGGTAGGGGATTAATTCAGGACCCTCATTATTTTACAGCCACAATGCAATTTCCCAAGAGTACTGTGCACTATGTGGGGTTTATCGCTATTTCAGGCGATGATGGGCAATTTAATATGAATAAATTCTGGGGAAATTGAACGATTGAATGATTGAATTAATGATGCAACTTGTGGTTGAAGTGATAATTATTTTAATTGAAATTTTTCGTATTGTTTGTTTACCTAGGCACGCATTCCCTAGAAAGAGCTCCAGATGGGCATGATAAAATGCCTGGGACCAATTGCTCCATCTGCCCGTTTCCTTGTGGATGAGAACCCTGAGGGCGAATGGTATACAGAAGAGTATTGCCAGCAATGCTGCAGCAGAGTATCCTGTGGGAATGTAATAAAAATACGGTGAGTCAAATTTATGAGAATTTTACTTTACTCTTGTCTCAGCGGGGAGCATTGTGCACTGGGTCTGACTATTCTAGCGTATTTCCACTGCTTCGGGCCATTTTGATTGTTCCCAAGATGTTGAATTTATACTCAGTGTGAGCACACGCAGTGCCTTTTGTTTACCCCTGGGAGCTCTTGAGTGTTGACACGAATTAGCACCTGTGTGGGCTTGAGTATTTGGTCTTGAGAAAATCTTGGGATAATTAGAACGCAAGAAGTGGGTTTTAGTGTTCTCTTGTGTTTATGGGAGAAATTGTTGAGTCGAGTTGCGATGGGGGAATGTTGTGAATAGAAATTGATTTGTCACTCGAAATATAGTACTCCTGTTTCAAATATTGAATTAATTCTGAAATGGTGAAAGTCCATGCAGAACTCGTATATCTAATCCGAAAGCGCGTGTTCTCGTTTTAAATAAAAGTTTGTCAATCAATTGTGCGTTGAAATGATAACATCTCCACTTTTCGGTATTTTTCTTGGGAATGAAATTGAAAGCTCAGATATCCATTCTATTAATTGATGGAATAAAAAAAATTCTAGCCCAAATAAATTTCAATTTATTTGTGGATTATTTATTGATTTAATTTTCCGAGATGCAACAGCTAAATTCCACTGACAGGATCGATATAAAATACAGTTAACAAATAAAACGTGAAGAGAAAAAAAAAGACGAGGAACAATCTTAAAAACCACAAATTGGCAAAAAATGAAGACAATGATCGAAAATGATAGATGATGTTTTCCTTTTCTGGTAATAATACACAAAGAGTATCGAAAAATAGAATCGATTGAAATTTCGAGAGAAAAGACAGTGAAAGAAATTCTTCATTAACAACATTTAGTGTATAGCAATAACTTGCCTAGTGGTTGTACACCAAAATCTCCATTACCTACACCCAATCCTCGAGGACCATCTGCGAAGGCCGGATACCCTGTCAGTTACCCACCGATTTCTGCCTTACCATTGACTAGACTCTCAACACCTTCATCAGAGAATGATGGAGTCACCAAGAAAATGACGATAATTTCCTAACGAATTACCACTTCAAGTATTCTCAAGTACCAAAAAATTCGAGTTGAAAAACTTCTCCACAAACTCGAAAGTCCACTCAACCCATTCCATTTTTTATTTTAAATTTCCCGCGCGACCTAATGTCAAATTATTTGTGATTCCCCGTGAAAATTTATCGCGGTTACATAAAAATACAGAAAATCAAGAGAACAAGTTAAATAATCCGAAACGAGGAATTATTTTCCGGTAATTTCATAGGACAGGGAGAAAATAAATAACTCTACTCAATAATTCCGGAATTTCCCCGTAATTATTCCAAGGCCATCGGAATATATTCACGATTTGAATTTTCCTCGTCATCGACCTTTCTTCGTGGGATAATACCTGGGGTAATTTCACCGAACACTTCCGGGGTTATATTTCCGCAGATACGATTTCATCAATGCGATACACGATACAGAGACCACCATGAAAAATACCATAAAAACAACAGAACTCCATAAAGACGCTGTAAAAAACGAAAATAATACTCTTCAAAACGATCGCAAAAATAACACGTGGTGGGAGTCGAATAAAAATTCAAGAATTTTGACATCGTGCTTTTTTATTGTCGAACCGTCTGCCTCAGTTGCTACGCCATTTCTCCGGGGCACGTATTTCTTCGTAAATGTTCTCTCCGTACTATTAATTATTCTCAATTATTCCCAATATCTCTGAAAAGTCTTAAAAATATCAGAAACTCAGACAAAAATATCTCCAAATTTTGGATTAATTTCAAATCGATTTGTATGTTTCATTTTGGGGGTAGTCTAATGCCCAACGGCTGTGATAAGAATTAACTCGGGAAAAATCTCAAATTAGATAAGGGAAACGAAAAAGAAAGAAGACATTTTTCCTCGTGATAACGGACACTGAATTGCGGCTCGTCCTTTGGGGGTTAAAATGGGGGGAACCTGTTGATGGGGTTGGGTCATGGGGTGAAAGGAAACATCGATGATTCTCCTGAGAGGAGTAAAACCCCAATGAGAGGACTAAACAGTATTTAGAGGATGATGATCGAAGTTGAAGTTGTAGCCCTGTTCCCTTAATACTTTTGGAAGGACAAATAACAGATTTAATGAAGTTCTCAAGAGAGTTAACTGTTAATTGTTGAAGAAGATTTGAGAACTCCATGAGATAATTTCTCCAGTAATTCCAAATAAAATGGTGACACCAACGGAAATAATAATGAGTGTAAATTCGGTGGAGATGTGAATGTGGAGATGTGAATTGAGTAATTTCTTCTCTTTCGAGAGATTCTTGACTAGGACTCACCTCAAAACGAGGTGATAACCTGTTGTTCTGGGTCGATGAACCCCGTGATCTCATAACCATGCGAGGAAAACTCATAACGAAAGGATTTCATGTCCCTGAGGCATTCTCAAGACAGTGAGAGAGTTTAAACGAGAAGTGCAATAGCTTTTCTTTGGCGTCATAAAGCATCTCTCCGGTAATATTGTTCCAACCCCGGGATCCCCTTTTCACCCAAATAACAATGAGTTAGGGTGAAGGTGTGAGGAGACTCGAGAGCCTGAGACATCGTGATGTGTGCTAAGAGAAATGAACGTTTTCGTGAAAATTCCGGGGAACATTCCTGAATTTTATCGCTGGACTTTACCGTCTCGATATCTTGACGCTATATCCAGGGCAAACCATCTGCGTTTGATGGCTCTCAAGATCCAGTCTGTGAAGGAGGGTTGAGAATAAAAAAAAAAAAACCGGTGCAATCAGCTGGTACTGGTACTCCTTTATTTCTATCATTTCAATCTTTCATTAATGACTTCTCGAGCTAATTGGTCTGTCGAGGGATGATTCTGAGGCATAACACCCGGTTATGAAACCCTCCCACTATCTCCTTTTATTTTTATCTTACTTTATGAATTATTGAATTGTCGGGGCGGATCTTAATGTTGGAACATTCCTCATGTAAAAAATTATATCCAATCCGCGAATCAGGTATTTGTAATGATAAATAGGTTTCACGAAAAGTCGTGAGTTCTGAGTAGCGGACCTCTCGATTAGTCCAAAAAAAAATTGAATTCAATTGAGAGATGAAAATAATTTTTTTTTGAAAATCCTTGAAAATATTTTTTTTTTTGAAAATCGATGAAAATGAATTTTTTTGGAAAATTCTCGGGAAAAGTCGTGAGTTCTGAGTAGCGGACCTCTCTATCAGTCCAAAAAAATATTGAAATCATTTGAAAGATGAAAATAGAATTTTTCCCAAAAATATTTTTTGAAAATTTGGAAAAAATATTCTGATTACAATTTTTAAAAAATGGATTCTAAAATTAGTATTACTTTAAAATGAAAGATTAAAAATAGGCAATTACCGGAGTATTCAAAAACACTTACAATTTGTTCAACTACCTAATTAATGAACCCTCCGATTTGATTCCGGCGTTTTCGGTTGAATTTTCTTAATATTTACAAAGAAAGAATCAGAGAAATTTCCAAAAATTTCCAAAAATTTCCAAGTGACAACGAAACTTCCTGTGATTGGTTGATTTTCGACTGAACGAGGTGAACTATCGCTGTAGGGTTTAATTCAATTCGTATCGTTACGAGTTCGCCAAAGGATCGAGTGATAACGAACCGTTCATTAGTCTGACTTGCGCTTGGGATTTATCACTTATTTTGAGCTTTTTTCTTCACCCAGTGCTGTGTAAACAAAAAAATAACGAGTAATGGAGGGAGGACAAAAGGTTTTCTTGATAGAGTCAATCCTAGTGTTTTACCATGAACATTTTCTCGCTGTTTTCGTTTTTTTCCGGATTATATTCAACGGGTGCATTCGAGTGGGGAGAATTTTCCGAGGATCGACCATGCGTTTGCATACAAAATGCACACTGCCACCGTCTCAACGGCATTATCCTCTACCCCACGTTGATACGAGGAAGTACTCTCAGATGGAGAACATTTCCCTGAGGAAGTCGCTAGAGGTTACAGGAGCCTGATAGCCCCTCGAGGGTGATAGACGGCATTCACATCGCACTCATTTCTTTCATACAGTTACATCCCCCCTAAATTAATTGCTTCACAATTTTCCTATTTGTAAACACTGCAAGAAATATTTAAGAAATACTACTCCTGGCAAGTGAATTTCCTGATGACACACACAAAAAATTGTTTTGAATTTCAAGTAAAAAACATTAATATTTTTGTTGGGGGTGGTGTAACGTTGAGAAGCCCTGAAATTTAAGAAAATTAAAGCAATAATTTGGAGGGATCTTCCTCTTTGGTTTTTCCGTAGGAATTGTAAAAGGATTGTCTAGAATTTAGCAAAGAAAATTCGAAGATTGTTAACAGTGAAGTTCGAATGGTTTTTTCATTCAAATGGGAATAGTTTGATAAAAATATTTCATTCCCCCGATAAAAAATTTTTTTTTTTCCTCCCATTTGGAACATGGAATGACTCGATTTTCCGTTCTTTTTCTGTAACTGATTCCAGATGAAACTGAATTTTCTCTCTCTTCGGGGTAAAAATGGGAGCCGAAAGAGTTACTGGAGTGAAACTTTTTTCTTGAATTTTTACGAGTAATTCCAGTGTTACGGGGCGAGAGGATGGGATGGAATAAAAAATACTGGGACATTTTTGTGTATAATACCCCTGGGTTTGTAGTTTAACCATCAGACTGGCATAACTGGCACGGGGACTTGAAATTTACGGGGATTGTTGCCGATGGAGGCCAATGCCGAAAGTTACGATCGATTCTTACTCCTAAATATCCAAGGTGCACCGAACAGGAAAAGATCGATCGGTCTGTCACTGAGTTATTGACGCTTGAGATTTCCATTCACGAAAAAAAAGGCAGAGCTATAAGGATTTAAAAATGAAATTAAAAAAAAATCGTAAAATCCCAGGCTAACAATGCCCTCGATTCAAAGTATCTGTCTCGTTATGATCGCA